ATGTGAGATGAGTGGGTCATAATATATTCTCCAAAGGAGAGGAGTAATTGTTTCACCCTGGTCAATACCATTAAGTATAGGGTATGAGGAAATAAGACCAAGGTTTGTAATAACTTGATTTTGTCTGTCAATAAGCATTAATCGTTAAGTATTAAGTGTTAAGACTAATCATTATACATATCTTTTTAAATTTTTCTCTAAGATAAATATAATAATAACTAAAAATTTAACTAATTTTCACCCATGGTAATTTACTCAGTATTATAAAATTTTTATTAAAAATTAAATGATCTTAAGATTAGGGGTTTGGGTTAGCTTTAGATTAGGATAAGAAGTATTTTTATATATAAAATTTTATGTTAAAAACTTTTGCTTAGAAGTTAAGACATAGTTTTATAATAAAATTTTGAGCTATTGGTTATTTTTTATTTCTTTGCTTTGTTTTGGTTACTAAAGATCTGGTGATCTGATTGGTTTTATATATAACTAGGTGAAATCATCATGGGGAGCAAGTTAGCAATAATCATAACTAATAAAATACAAATATCAAAATAATAAAATAAAATAATAAACTAATAAAATAAAACTGTTCAATAAAATATAATTAAAATTGTTCTAGTTTATAATTTATTAATAATTAAAAAATTATATTTAAAATGATATAGTATTACTAAAATTTTGAATCTAAAAATATTCTAAATGCAAAACCAAAATATAGTTAACTCTCTTTAAATGCATGTTTTCTAAATGTATCTTTTTTCTAAATGCAGGTTTAAATTCTGGGCCTATATATATATTTGATCTTTATAAATAAATTTTTTTTAATTGTTCTCTTAATATATATTGCTAAAAGTTTGGTCTCAATACAATGCATTTAGAGAATTGACTATAGATTTTTTCTTTTTTTAAACTTTATAGTGAAAAAATGTCTTTATTTTTATTAAAATTTAATTAAGCTTCTTTACAAATAAGTAAGCTTATATAAAAGAGTTTATATATTAAACTTCTATCCTAAAAATACTAAGACTAAAGTTTTAGACAGAGCTAAAAAGAGTTATTTGTAATTTAAACTCTACTAGAATGGCTATAGCTTATTTGAATTTTTTTTAAATTATTTTTTTAAACTAGCCTCTTTGAGACTAAGACTTTTATTCAAGTTATTTGGGTGAGAAGACTCACAATAAATCCTCTATTATATTAAAGAATATATCCTTGTAAAGTTCACCAAACCTTAATACTCACTATATGAACTCTCAACTATACCTCTAATTTCCCAAACTCACAATTTAGTTAGCCTGAAAGGGCAGTCTCCTTCCTTCAGTTGTCTGTTAGCCTGGTTAGTATAGTGCCTTGTCAAACAATTTGATCCTGCCTGGTTTTTCTAATATTTGAATAATCTTTTTTTATATAATACTATCAAAGATTTGTACTACCTCTTTACTCTGGTCTTGTTAAGTGGGCTTCCATATTCCAATTTGTCAGTTTTACTCAGTAGCTTCACTCAGATTTTGTGTAATTCATACATCAAAATAAATGTTTCACTACTCCTAGTACAAGCTGATGTGACTTCATTACAGATACTAACCTAATAAAATACAGTTTTCTAAATACATTCTGTAAATTCGAATTTTTGTTACAAGTGGAATTCAAACTCTTGTCCTGCTGCTTGGAGTGTGACAACTTACCAACTTCACTAAGTCACTACACACTGCTTATCTATATTTCAAGACCAGTGTTATAGTAAAGAATAATATATAGTGCATTTAATAAGAGGGATCAATTTAGAATATTAAAAAAAAATAAATAATCAGTCAGATTAGTACCAAAAAAATCTATAATAGTATAATAATGGTACTTAATCAAAAATATTACCTAGTTATCTGATGGATATAGCTTTAAGGTTATCTAGATGATCAACAGATATATCCAGATATAAAATCCTATCTAATATACCTGAATATATAGTTAGTATTAAAATTACTGAATTATAGCATTACTGGCTTTATTAATTAGTTTGAATTGCAATTTCAAGTTAAATTCTAATAAGCTGATTCTTTATTTATTATTTAATTATAACAAATATTTTCTATTTAAATATAATAAAAATTAAAAATTCAAATATTTAGTGTAATTAATGATAAATTAATATTTGCTATCTCAATATACATCAAAATTAACGTTGGGACCACGCCCGCGTTGACGGGCACGAGTTCTATTTGTTGGTTTTACGACATTTTGTGGAGCATCAGTATTACGAATTGATGGAAGTATAACAGGGTTATTCACTGGCAAATCATGAGGCGGTTTCACTACTGTTTGGGACTGTTGCATTTGCGCAGCAACCTAAATTATAAAATTATAAAAAAGATATTGTCAATATGAAATTATTATAATTTAAATTATATGTTTAATAATTCACCTGAATTTTTTCTCTAACAAATTTATAAGCTTCATATGTATTTTCAACCAATAATGATTGTGGAAACATCTCTTCCACTAATGTTTCTTTAATTTCATCAGGCCACAAATTTAAACTCATATCACATAAATAGATAGATAAAAGAAGATCTGCTTTAATATTTGTATCAACACACAAGAATCTTTGCATATATCTTTTTAATGCAGTGACAAATGCTTCGGCCGGAATTTGCGATTGTTGTTTAGGATTATCTGTGATAACATGTTGCTGATCGATGATTAAAGAATCCAAAATTTCCTTTGTCATCATTTCATTAAGTGGTTTTTTAAATTCCTCATTTATATAACTGATTCCGATATTTGCTACTTGATCTTCAATAAGTTCATATAATGCTACAATGTGTTTTAACCTCAATTCGATGTTAATAATTTGCTGAAAATTATTTAGTTCTATTGAATTTGATAACTGAATCCATTGATCAATGAAATCTTTAATAAGCGTTTCACCACTTTTGGTCGATATCCTCTTAATAAAGCATAAAAGTATTTCCAATGATTGAAGTAATTTTTGATTAATTGATTGATCTGTAACTCCAATTAATGAAATTTTGTCGGTAGGAATTGGTTCTTGTGGTATTAATCCTTTGATCTCATTTAAAATTCTTGACCCACCATGTAATAACTCCATATGATAAGAAAATTGGTCCATGTATAATTGATCTTCACTATTTCCTTCTATGAATACTTTTTCTGAAATTAAAAGTTGTGCGAGTTCTTGTTCTATTTTCTGCAAATCATAAATCACTTCTTCACCATGCCTAATTTCAAGGTTATGTTGACTATATCGAAGTAATTTGTTATCCCATTCATAATTGATTATATTAGATTGCTGTAAAGAATTGACTTGTTTGGAAGGAATATGATAAGGATTAGAAATAGTTGTTGTTTCGTCTTGGATTGAAGTTGCCCAGGGTACAGCTTTTTGTAAGAATTTAAGAGATAAACAGGTTTCATCCGGAATTGAAATAACATCTTCTAAGAAGTGGTTTTGTATATTGACCAAATATTCTATGATTGCGCACAAATAAATTCCAGAATCTTTAGCTTCAATTAATCCGAATACCACCGGATTATTCTTTGTCAATTTATGAGGTTCAAAGTCATGACACTGGTACCTACGAACGTTGCCAGCAACCGCGTTCCAGGACTTTTCAAATTCATCATAAGATGTTTCTAAAGATACAAATGCTTCATTTTTTGATTCATCTTGAATGAATTCATCAAAAGTGTATTTTATTGCTTTTTCTCTGGTTAATTTGTGTGCTAGTTTTGAATGTAAAATTTTGACGAATTTGATAATTGGATAAAAGTGTTTTAATTGTGATAAATACTTTTCGTGTTTGAAATAAATATTTAAAAATGGGAAATCTTTGGAATTTTGTAAAATATTCTTTAGATAATATGCATTAAATCCTTCAAAGCTAATTTTTCCAGTAAATCTCCACAACTTAGGAAGGTAATCTTTATTATATTGTGGGCTCATTTCTAATTCTTGTGTAATTTCATCTTCTAATCCGTTTTTAGCAACTTTTGCTATTTCCATTCCTTTATTCAATTCCGATTTGAAATCAACGGTGGTTTTAGTAACACTTTGAATTTTTGGTAAAATATATGCCGCGCTAAAGCCCATTTCCCAATCTTCTCTTTCTTCTGATGTTTTAAGCACAGCTTTTTGTTGAGGAAATTGTTCTTTGGCCATAGTGCTTAGTATTGAATGAAATAATAGTGCCAAATTCTCATCTGAAACATCAAGAACATTTTTCAGAATATTCCAATCGCACCTAATATGTTCCAAACAATATTGAATTATATCACTGTATTTTTTCTCAGTTTGTGTGAATAATGTTGTGCTCGTTTTTGTTGCTGAAGCTGCAATAAGAGTGTGAACGAACAGATGTAGAATTCGATATGAAGCTGGAATCATTGATCGAATTGAATAATTTGGCTTGTCATTCGGTTCTTCTTCAATATATCCTGCTTGATCTTGTGCTTTGAAATCGGTGGACTTTACTTGATCAAGCTGAACATTTCCTCCAGCCAACACATGCTTAGATCCACCTATGACATTTCCACATTCTGGGCAATTTGCTTTTACCCAAGCTCTACCGCAATCACCAATTACGTATTTAAATCCACAATCGCATTTATACCTTTTAAAAATTGGTTAATATACAAGTATATAATACTAATATATGTAAAAAATATATACGTACCTTACTACTCCACCTTGTGCAACAGCATTAAACAAAACAGTTTCGTAATCGGACTGACAAGCAATAATATAATGTGACTGACATGTTTGTGCATCTTGCAAATAAGCAGCTAATGGCGATATATTTTGAGAAATGGAAGCATGTAATCCCACAATATGCACAAGAACTGACTTCATGACTAGTTCACCGCTAGTAATATTAGTGTCAATACTATATAAATTATGTTTATTGATCATAATTTCTTCAATCATTTGTTTATAAGCAATTGGTAAATAAAATTTGATAACTTCGTTTAACATAAAATCTGCCGCTCGTTGTTCTGCATGATTAAACTCTCGTGAAGCTCGCATGGCATGAAATTTGGTCATGAAGATTCCAAGTAATACCAATCTTAATTCTACATCATCATTTTGTTCAATCGTTCTGATAAATCTTTGCATTTGAGAATTGTCTGAGAATTGATACAATCGAGTGTATGCACTTTCAGCTTGAATGTTTTTAGATAAATGCCAGTACGGGTTGAACGGTAGCCGAGATGAATCATTTGTTTCCCATGAGAAATGATTATACCAGGATAATTCGTTAGATCTCGCTTTACAAAATCTTTTTAAATCATCAAACGATAGGCCACGTTGTCTTAAATCTCGAAGAAAGTATATTTTTAGAGAGTGAATCAATGGTTGTGGCATATCCATGAAACAAACAACATCGTTTAAAAGTTCATGTTGTTCAATTCTCATGAGATGATAATTAATAGGTCGATCTTTATCTTGAAAAACTACATCCCAAAACATCCCAACAAATTCTTTTAAAAACGCTATTGCTGCGATTTGTTTTAATGATTGAACTTCATTGCATATTACTTCTAAAGCTGATTGAAGGTATGGAGCTAATGTAGTTAAATTTGTTTTATGAAAATATTCATGTTGGATAATGTCACAGCATAAAGTTGCCATGTCAGAATTGAAATCTTTTATAGATTTATCTATCACATTTAATCTCTGAGATATTTGTGAAATATTTGTTTGATTTTGAATAAGTTTGAAAAACACCTCTTTGTAATGCTTCTCCTCGATTTCAAAGATTCTTTTAATTACTATGCTCATTAATGGCAATGGTTTACCCGAAAATAACTGTTTATAAAGTTGAATCCTTACATCAGATTCTACTGGAATTATATCAAGAAAACTTAATATTATGGTTCGTTTAGATATATTTCTTTCTGTATTAGGAATATTGTTTAAAATTTCAAAAACTGCATTTAACATTTCAATGGTGATTATTTGGTTTGAACTTTTTCCAAGAGAAATAATTTGTAAAATGTCTTTCTTTCGAATTGACCCAATGTTAAGCAAATCATTATAAAATATTAATGCCTGAAGAGATGTTGAATCAGCAGATATCTTTTTACCAAGCATAATAATTTTATTGGCATCGTGTTTCCATCTTTCGGTTTCTTCTCCACTTTTAATTCTATCCAACATTATTGCCACAGCATTTTTGATAATTTCTGATATATCACTAATATCACTATCTGTAATATATTTTAGTTGTGGACATATTTTAACAATTTGTGATTCTGCTATGACAGAGGTTCCATGTGACCACCAATATGCATGCAATGCAACAGGTTCCAACACTTTTATTTCTCCAAGCCTTCGCTTAAATATTAATTCTAGTTGTTCAGGATCTTCATTACCAGGCTCACTATAGGCAATAACTGAAACAAAATCTTTGAAATACAATTCTGGTACTCTAGTTATAGGTGCTGTCTCTAATAGCGGATTGATTGAGCGGATTTTTTTAGTTAATTCTTTAAGATAATCCTCATGTGCATCCTCATCAAGTTCACCAGTTGTGAGATCAACATTTTGAGGATTTTGCGTTAATATACTAATTTCTTCATGATAGAGTGGTTTGAAATTGTCAATCTGTTTCATAAAATAATATGAAAATGGGAATTTCAAATCGTAAATTCCTGGTGGCATACTATAAAAATCTGGTGATGGTTCTGGAACTTTTTCGAGATCTATGATTTTTTTGTTATTGAACATGCTGAACCAAAAATCAAGAAGAAAATTATCATCGTCTACAACATCAATGTCTGGGTTATCAATCGCAAAAAAGGTTCTAGTTGCAGCGTGTTGTTCAAGAGCGCAAAGAATCTTTGCGATTGGTGTCCTGACAAGTCCTCTGATATGTGTTATTAATGCCACAGATAAAGATGGATAAATATATAATAGTTTCTTGTTCGATGCCACATTATATTGCCAATTTGCTGAGGCTTTTTCTTGTAACCATGACCTCGTGTATGTTTTCATACATTCTAACAATTTTGGATGCTTATGTATATTTGCACTCAAAATTCTGAAAACAAAGTGCAAAGGTTAGACATCTGATTAGTATATAATTTAATATATTATATCTAGTTCGATTATAAAACTCACTTTATATGTTCAATAGATCTCATGCTTGAAGGATATTTCATGCACAATAAGCACCATAGCAATTCTTGATTTAAAATACTTTCAAACAAATAAGTCGTATTTATGACGTCTTCAATACTTTTATCCATAAGCTCAGAAAGTGATTTTTCTTGTTCCGCAAGAGTTTCAATTGTGACTTGATCCCATCCGCACATAAAATTGAATGATGCGGAAGAATTTTCTTGTTCCCTATGAATATGCATAATGATACATGCATGCTTAGTATTCCAAGTAAGTTCAGGTCTTTTCTCTTGTTTCATCAAATATTCATTTTTAAGTTGTTCAATCAAGAATTTTGCTAATTTGATACATCCAGCATTTACAACTGTGACGTCGCATTGAAGAATAAGCATTTCGTCAGTGGATTCTAACCAGAAATCTTTAATTCTATTTTGAAGCTGAGATTCAGTTTTAAAGGTCGATAATTTATCAACTTGACAATTGACAATTCCATCTAAACATGCTTTAATGTCAGTATTTATGTTGGAAAAAGTGTTAATGATAATTTGAAGTCCACGTGAACTATTAGATTTGCTCAACGCAGCTTTAATATAATCAGCAATGCTATCATGATTTTGATGTTCGAAATAGATTTTTTTCCAATATCTTTTCTCATCATCATCTAACTCTGATTTTTCAGCTCTGATAATACCATCGCTTGAAGCAATAGCCACCAGCTTTTCTTTACATTTCATCAAGATATCTCGGTCATCACTATTTGGATAATTTTTCTTGGTATCAATGACCAGACTTTGAATAGTTTCATCAGGATCGAATCCAATAAACAAATCTTTTTGTTTAAAATCTTCATTTAGTTTTGATTGGTTGCCTTGTGTTCCAAAAATCTTTGACATTTGTTCTACCCATGTTAGTAATTGCTCAACTATTTGATATTCAGTTGTGGTCAAAGTATCTTTGATTGTCATCTTTTGCTTTTCGAAACGATTTAAAAGTGGAGGATCGGCTGTCTTTAATTTTGTTTCATCGAGAACAAGAATACATCGAAATGCCTCGTGAACGTAACTATTCGCATATTAACATTTTTGAGTAAATATGTAATTGCAGCTTATTATTACTTATTATTACTTATAATTATACTTACAGCATAGGATTTGCATAAGCACCAAGAGCCACTCTAGTATAGTATTTTGGATTGTCTGCACTACCTGCAACGATATAATTCTGATTCCATAAATCATAAAGACTTCCATAAATAATTTCCAAATCAGTAAGAATCAACGGTCTTCCCGTTTCAACGCACATCTATAGAATTATCAATTTGATGTTGTGAAAAAATATTTACAGTAAATGTGCACATATAATTTATATAAAAAAACATACCATGATCCTACTTAATACGCTATATGCATAATCATCCTGATCATCAGGAAATTGAGATCCCATAATAACAACCGGATCCAAATTTCTATTCCTCAATTTGTATGTTAACCAATTTACTATAGAATCACTTTTACCGATAACCATCAAGTGTCTTGCATCCTTGTCATCAAGATTTGCATTTATTAAATCTTCTATTGGTAAAGATTTATACTCCCATTCACATTGTTGGTTAAAGTTTCTGAGCACTTGTGCAAAATATTTTTCACATAACTCTTGAGTTTTATCAGTACCACCAAAATTGCGGGTCAGAGCTTTTTGGATATTTTTTGGTGTGAGTTCAGTTTTTGAAAGGGATTTTACAAGAGCATAATAGTCACGTAGGCCATGGAAATTTGCGAATTCTTGACCAGTTTGTTCATAGGTCGAGTATGCATCGGCAAGTGGTTCCAGAGAGACTTTTGATATGTTTGTTTGAATTTCGTTTGTTTCATTTGTTTCAATCCTGGGACTTAATAAGCGGACTGCAGTATCAACTAGATCATTACGACCGAATTTAGGCCTATATTATTATTATCAAAGAAACTTAATATGTATCTATATTTTTAAAAAAAAAGACTGTATATAAAATAAATGATAAAATCAACCTTTGGACCAACAAAGCTCTACTACTTTTACTGTTATCCAATCTCCAATTAGATATTCCGATCACTGAAACAGTTTGACTATCGGATCCATAAGGTGGTTCAAGTAAATAGTGAAGGACTTTTAATGGATTAAATGGGCTTGTTTCAGCCAAACCAACTATATTATGCAATCATAGAATAATTGTTATAATTTTATCTTACGAAACAATTTTATCTTTTTTTGCATTATTTTATATTTACCTTCATCCAGCAAGACAACACTTATCACAGGAAATTCTTTAGAGGTTGTTTTTTGATAATTGTTGGCTTTTTCGAATACTTTTGAAATACCATCTGACGTTGATGATGATGAACCTTGATGTGGAATAAGATAGACCTATAGAGATTTTAGTTCAAGGATGTTTGTTCTTAGTGAAATGTATGAAAACTATATATATACCTGTGGTAATTTTCGGAAGTAATCATCTTCGGAATCAAATCCTTTCAGGTTCTGACTTACAAGCCTAACCGCCAAGGATTTCGATGAACTATGATAACAATTATTATATTAGTAATGTACTGTATTTGAATTCACAAAGGGGATACACAAAGTGAATACATATTTATAACAATATTTGATTACCCAGGAGCTCCAATGATAAATACAGGAATTTTGGTAAGAATACAAACAATCATAACCAAAACGTTTTCCAAGAGTGCTTCGTTTTTTGCAGTATTAGGAGGACATGTCATTCTATCTATATAATCTTCTTGCTCTTGTCTGATAATATTACTAAAATCTTCTTCACTAAATTTAAATTTGTAGCCTGTACTTTTACTCCCTTTGCTCCCTTTACTCCCTTTACTTCCTTTACTCATATCTTCACTAATAATTTTTGCCATTTCTTTACGATATCTTCTTCTAATGTTTTGATCATATAATCTACATTGGTAACAAAGACCTAATGCTAATACATAACATCTAAGTGAAAGATCGAACCCATCATCTGGAGGATACTTATTTTTCTCATTTAGTTGTGATCTTTTTGTAAAACTGTCGCTAAAGAATTTTGCTAGGGTAATTGCTCGTTTTACGTCCCGAAGACTGACACTATAAGGTTCTTCTTCTTCTCGAACAAATACTTGAGATCTAAATATTAAATTTGCAAACATATCTGGGTTTTTAAAATCACTTTCTAATGCTTCAAGAACCATGGTTTGAATATATCTTTCTTCTTCTTTTTCTTGGAGGATTCCATAATCCCAAACATAATCAAGAATTTGATCGGGCAATGGCTTAACTTGATATACTAAATTGCTACGTTCCTCATATCTAATTTCCTTCTTTTTGGCTTTGGTAGACAACCCAACATTACTTTGATCCTTTGTACGTATACGATACGGATTACATGCTGCAAACAATCTAATATTAGGGTGTATTTGGCGACCATTTAACATTCTATGAGCTATTAAATCTGCGAGAAGACCTATATGATTGCATGTATTTATTTCATCAAAGAATAACCATAGTTCAGAAGTATCGGCGAATTTTTGAGCTTCTTCCATAAAAGATAAGATGTTTTCTTCGGTCACACCGGCATGTAAGTCTAATGACCTAAACTCAACTTCAACTACTTGCGCAAGAAAACCAATTAAACTTGTCTAAAAAAAAAATCCATAATAACCATAACCTTTTATTAGTATTTAATAATGTATAAATTTGATAAAATTTGATGGGAAATTTTAATTTACCTTTCCACATCCTGCTTCACCACAAACTATCACCTAAATATAAAAAAGTTAATTGATTTTTAGCAAATCAATTATTTAACTTTGGATTAATAGTTAATAATGTGTAATAGTTTACCGGAATGTTGGCACGAGCTCTTAACAAAATTAAGGCCATTTTTATTAAATTATCTGCCGATAATGCATAACGAGGATACTTAATTTTATTGTTGGTTTTTCTTGCCAAACGTTCCAATTTTTCCAATAATTGTGATGTATCCATTGTATTATAATTTTCCAATTGAAATTTCTTATCCTTATCAGTATGTTGACTTTTTAATAATCTCTTAACATTTTCAGGAACTCGTTTCTCATCACGATATAAAGCACAAATAGCATCTGGTATTTGTGATAAGAAAAATACCAAAAGATGATTTGAATCATCCCAATTAACTATGGTTGCCAATTTATCATTATTTGATGGTGTTGTTGACTCTAATTGTGCAGTTTTGGTTTTAAATGATAATGTTGCAAAATCTTTGGATACATCTAATAAAGTTCGAAGTAAAGTTTTTCGAATTTCTTTTTCTTTAATCATGACTTTTAAATTTTCAACTTGGAAATATTGACTCGAAGATAAACGAACCAATTGATCAGCAAAGACGTTAACGAATATTTCAACAAATCTGAATGATGTAATATCTTGTTTACTAGTGCCATTATCAAATAAATATTTATTAATAAGGTCTTGACATGCTTCATCAGGCATAGGTTTTGTAGCATCAGGCCCGATTGTATGGAATAAGAGATTTTTAGTATCTATGGTTCTCTCATAAGCATATAAGTAATGACAAACTATCTGAATAGGACTATGTATTTCTTTGGATACCCTGAGATTTCTAATGTCCCATTTCAAATCAGTATTTGCAAGACAATGAACTATTGGTATAGATTTAAACAAATATTGATCGGCGGTTGAAGCAATTTCAATGAATATATTAGTATTGAGCAAACGAGCTATATCGATACTATTTACGACCATTCCTAAAGTTAATAGTTCAAATATAAACATATTGACGTCTCTAGGATGATTAGCTGATATTATATTCAGATGTAAACTTTCAAACGATTGAATCTTAAATTCTTTAAATCGTTTAACCAATGTTCTAAAATCAACATCATCATTAATTAAAAAGCTATTTGGAGCTTTCTTTAATTCGTAGCTTTTATTTTTAATCCATTCAGTTTTTCCTAGACCGGAAAACTCCGACGTCACACAAAAAACGTTTGGGCATAATTCTTGATATATTATTTTCATGGATTTCATATCAAGTCCATTTGTTGTATGAACATCCTGAGAAAATTGATCCAGGATATGATGATGAACACCAGATTCTCGACAACATATGAGAGCCAATAAATATTTATCATATTGTTCACTCATTGATCTAATAATGTTTACAAGTTGATATTGCAGTTCAAACTCGACTAATTCTAAATTAGCAATACAAAATAAATAATTCTCATATCCATTTTTTGCTGCAAAGAAACATCGTTTAGTGAAGATTGAAAGTTCTTCCAAAGTAGTTGATGGAGTACATATTAATATTTGCCATGGTTGAGGATATGATTCATGATTAACATATAATGACATTATAATATTTGGAACGAGTAATTTATCGTTACATGCGGCCACAAATAATTTTCCTGAAAAAACGAAATCGGATTTTACTATTTCTATTTTGTTTCGTGATACTCGCTTTGGTTTATTATAAATATTTCTAAACAAATATCCTAGTATCTTTCCTAACGCGCATAAGTTTTCATAATAACTTTGTCCAAAAACTTTATTCACCAATTCATTCGTTTTAAAACTACTATCGTTGTATACTATAAAAAATACGTAGTAAGATTATTTAATGTAATACTATTTGATAGTTAAAAAAAAAAATACATTATAATTATTTACCTTCCATCGGAGTATCTATATCATCATTCGTGTCATCATTAAGAGTGTTATCGTTAAGTATATTATTTAATACTACATCCGACGGTGGTAATTCGATACTAGTATTTACAAAATTTATAAGAGCTTTGCACTCTTCGATATTTGTTTCTTTATCTTTAGCACTTTGACTAAAATAGTCGTAGAATACCAAAATTTGTCTAGCTGGAAAGAAAGTCAGGTAATAATATTTTTCCTGCGCTTTGTTCACAATCTTTTTCCTAAAGTGAAATATAATTTTAGTTAATGATAATTAATTAATGAATTTGATTAATTAATAATAAAAGAGTTAAGTTTAATAGTACCATTCATCTAAAGCCACTCTTAATTCATCAAGTAAACCTTCCATTTCATTGATTCCTTTAACATCTTTATTAAACCTCCTATATTTAAAATGCCCCATTTGAATCAATTCCGAAGCCAATCCACAAATCTCTTGTGCCAAATCAACTTGATCCACAAATTCAATCATTGTCTTTTTAGCCATATCATGTTGTAATCCTTCCTCTCCAAGACTATCCACGTCCAAGGTGATGCCAGGTTTTGAAATCAAAAGGGCACGTCCTCGTAAATCAAGTAGATCATTTAGCGTAAACTTTGTCATTTGCTTTTCTAAAGCTTCCGCGAATACTCGGGTTGAATAAGATAAAGTAGCAGTACATTTATCATCATTTTCAAGTCGTTGAAAAGTAAAAACACCTTTTTTAACAGAATTACTAATTCGTTCTTGAGTAATTTCTGTCTTATTATCAATGTTCTTTACTAAATTTTCCAATGCTTTTCTATTACAATTACATAATTCAATTTTTTGACCTAATTTAGGATTTGTATCCACAATTGTTACCAATTTTCTCAAGAGCTTTTTAATGGTCAAGGTTTCATCACTTTTGATTATTGGTACTAAAACTTGATGGACTTGAATTAATGAAGACATTGTTTCTTCCTGAATAAGTCGTTCATCCGATTGGTCATCTACACTATTAATCAAATTTTTTATATTATGTTCAGCTATAGATCGAAGCCAATTAATAAAATCATGAGACATTGATAATGCTTTGATTAATTCCCAACAATTATCTTTAATATATGATAGGTGCTTATTATAATAGGAGAAAAAACTATTAAGCGCACCAAGCCATAAATATTCATTTTCAAGAATCATTAACATAGTACTAAACCAGCCACCTTTAGTACATATAACCTTGAACATTAAAATAATTCCATTTAATTGTTGAAGTCTTTCAACATATATAGGAAATTGAGTCATATGTATCATTGTTTGCACCAATAGATCAGATTTTTTTATTTGTAAAAAATCAAGTTCATTTCTAACATTTCCTTGATTAACTCTTTGCCAAAGTATAATTTGACTTGAACATTTAAGAGTTTTCCAATTTTCAGTTTGGTATTGTCGAGCAAATCTTTTATATTCCTCATTTACTGATGGTATAATTGATCCGACCAATTTTTCCGTAGAAACGGGCCCTCCTTCAATTCTCATTACATTATCAAAAATATTTCTAAAAGTTTGGGAATCAATTAACTTATATACCATATTTGCAGCATCCTCTGAAATCTCATGTTTCTCCCAATGATTTGGTGATTGAGTCTCTTTAAGAGTTAAATTATCCAATTTTGTTGATCTTTCATTTATATCATCAAGAAACAAATTTAGATCACTAACTTTATCTTGAGAGCAAAATCGAGTATAAAAAGTATGTAATCGATCCTTTTTATTCAAATAACTCTTGCATTGATCTCTTAAATTATTAATAGTTGATTTATTAATTTTTTCAGAATTAAAAAATCGAATTAATATATCATCTTTATTAAGAAGAAGTCTTTGTAAGATTAGGAAGGTGATAGATTCTTGTGTCAAGATTTTTTCGAAATTACGAATGATACTTTGAGCTTGTTTAATATATGGATGTGATTTCAATCTTGTAACTTCACCAATTGGATCTAATATCAAATTCCAAAATCTGGAATGACGGAGAAGAATTAATGAGGTAGAAGAAATTTCAGAATCGGATTTATCAGGTAAGGGATGTAAGGTGTTCAATTTTTCCACGATATATAATAATATTTCTTCACACAACCTATTTTATAATGAATTTTAATAATAGATATTAGTATATAGAATATATGCAATTAAGTAATCTGTTTATAAGTGAAAGATATTTACGAATTAGGAACATCCAAAACATCCGATTTACATGCACAAATCTCTTGCATCTTTTGTAGCAACGTGTCATCAATATTTTTAACAATGATTTTTCCTTTCACCATCTGAGCAAATGGTGTAACAAGATCCTGACCAAGTTTATGAAATTTGTGAATATGCTTAGTGGCTTTAAAGATCCTGGTATCACTACACTGATTACAACGATCAATAGCAATTTTGATTAATTTATCTAATATATCAGGTCGATTCTTTATAATATTAAATATATATGATAGATTTTCAAACACATCATGAACGTATTTCCAGTCACCGGAGGCGAAATCAAGAAGAGATAGCATACTATAATACCAACGTTCACAAATATTGGGAATTTCATCCGATTCGGTTAAATTAGCTAAATTAATAAATTTACTATATTTGTTAAACCAGAATTTAAGCAACGCAGGAAATTTATTTAATAATAATTTGCTCTTTGAGATTGAAATAATTTCAAGTGCTCGAAGATGATGATCTTTTCTCCATTCAAGCTGATCATTTTGTAACATGGAATATATAGCATCTACATTGGAGGCTGTCCATTTATGAACAAAAGTACGTTCTAATAAAGCAAAAGTAGCATTTCGAAATGGATCTGCTACATCTGCCTTGAAATCATTGGAGATTGCAGCAAAATGTTTTTGCAATAATTCTGCAGAGACAGATGAAATGTGGTATTGTACGCGTTCAAGGAATGTTTTTCGCAACAATATATCTCTAGATCTTGTGTGTTCTATCGAGAAACTCCATACTTTTGATAGTTGATCCATATTACTGCATATCTTCATCATCCACTTTATAATAATAAATAATGTTAGTTTTTAATTAAATTTTTAATTCGTAATAGAATATAATCTCACAAATTCACAAGCTCACAATTTCACATGCTCACATGCTCACAAGCTCACAAATTCACAATCTCACAAGCTCATAATCTTACCTTGGCAATTCTACAATAAGTTTCATCAGATTCAATTTTGTTAATACTAGGAGTAACATATTTTGGAAAATAAAAGTTAACGAGTGAGTCTGAATATTTTTCGTCAAATTTATTAGAAACACAATCCAAGAAGTTATATTCAGGGTCTAAAGAATGCGCAAATGTAAACATAGCTTTCACCCAAAAATGATCACCATATTGTACATCACGTACAATCGATGCACGAAGAGTAGTTAAGAGTATTTCTGTAGTGTTGGGTAACCAGTCTTCTGGACGAAATTTTTCAATACATTCAAATACATTTTGAGAAGGAAATTTTTTTCCGAGCATATAATTCCCAAATGTGTTAGAACGTGTGATAATGTAATATCCTAGTACAATACTTAAAAATAGACGTTTTTCTTTATCGCTTGTACTTTTAAGTGAATCCTCGATAAAGCTTACATCAACCGCTGATAGAGTCTCATCTGGAAACCGTTCCAAAATATCTAGATATTCCTTAAGTTTTATTTTAGCATTCTCAGGAGTAAGCGATTTCCAGATTATTTTAAAGAATTCGTAATCATGAACATGCTTATAATACGAACGATTGTCAATGTTTATTTTGCTCACTATATCAAACTGATTAGTTGATTCACCTTTTACATTTAATGTACGATAATCTAGGGCATCATGGATAATTTCATGAAACCAAAAAACTCTAGGTTCATCTTTTATTTTCTTGTCTAGTTTTTCATTGTCTTTTGATTTCTTGTCTGTTGCGCCACTCTCTGTTTCTTCGGGTCTCATGGGGTCATCATAATCCTTTTTATCATCCTTATTATCATCTCTAGTATCATCCTTAGTATCATCCTTAGTATCATCCTTATTATCCTCCTGATTATCATCTTTATTGTCATCCCTATTATCGTCCCTATCATCATCCTTATCATCATCCGTCTTGTCTTTCTTGGCCACATATTCACCTTTATCATCATCGTTGTCGTTATTTTTTGTATCACCAGGTTTTTCATCACCGACATCCTCTTCCCTCAAGAGACTACCATCGTTGTCCCTATTATTTTCGCTATCTTGACTAATATCATCAATTTTCATATACTTTCCAGCTTTCTTTTCAGCGTCTTTTCTTTCTTTCTCAGCTTTTTTTGCTCTCTTTTCTTCTTCCTTCCTCTCCTTTTCAGCCTTTTTCTCAGCTTCCTTTCTATCTTTTTCAGCTTTCTTCTCGGCTTCTTTAATCTTCTTTTCTTCAGCTTTAATACTTTTTTTATCTATTTTCTCAACAATTTGCACGGCATACTTATATCTAATCTCACCTTCATGAAACTTACTTATTGGAATCATAACGGGTTCAGACACCCAATAAGTACTGTTTTTATCCCCATACAATCCTCTGAGTGGTTTAGAATAAGGTTGCTTAAGTGGAACCAACTCTTTTTCCCAGTTACCGAGTTCGTCAATATTACCAATTACGCAAGGAGTTGCTTTATCTATTAAATTAAAATCTCTCGAGATATTCTCAAGTTTTGGCGGGAGGTGGACGTGAAAAACCACTTTAACGTAGTCATTTTCTAGAAAAGAAGTGGTAACTGATGAATCATCGGCTTCGAAAAACTTCCAAAGTCCTATCTTCTTAAGTAGATTTGTTTTAGATGAGGAAGTTCTTGACGGAATTTGATGTGACAATGTAGAAGAGTTATTAATATTCTGATTATTTCGACTAATATTGTTAAATTGTAAAATATCAGATTCTAATTCTAATTCCGACTGGTGCACTGGCAATTCATCTTCATAACCACTGCCATCCCTTTGGTAATTTGTACCCGACATTCTTGATTACATTCAAAAAAAAACTTTTTATAAAGAAAGTGTATCAATTTTAACTTAAAAAAAAAAATTATGTCTTCTTGTCACAAAAAAAACTTCAATTTATATTTGTGCGCACAACAAATGAAATTCAGATTTCAGTAATTATTTGCAGAAATTAAAAACTACAAGTACAGTTACGGTAATCAAACATGTATTAACTGTTACACGATATGCGGTTCATTATCTATTATCCTTTTTTTATTATTTTAAAATTATTGCAGTTTTTAATAATTTTAAAAGTAGATTGTAAATCTGATGATAAAACAAAAAAAAAGAACTTCGGATTTAATACTCCAGAACAATCAAGACAAACACTCATGAATCTCATTTGTCTAATTAATAAAACAGCACGTTGTTAAAATTACTATACCTATGCACATACGCATTTACCATGCTCAACAGTATCACAATGTTACGTAGCATACAACACACATACGCACGTACGTGGGTGGTAACTCAACTACGGTAAGTAAATCGCAATCTTAGTAATTTTTATTATGATCAGATTCTATTAGTGAAAATAAAATGATTGATTAAACCATCATTTTACCTTGATTAATTATAAAGAACAACACAAATTTCTAGATAATTCATCTGAATATTGCGCTTCTTTTTAGAATTTCTTTTGAGTAAAACTATTTCTAAAAATTTACGGTCGATTTTTTGCAAGTTCTAGAATCATACGTTTAAGATATAAATTTTTCACTCTAATTATTAAAAATTTAAATGTTTTATTAAACGAAAATGTTCAAAAGTTATACATTATAAAAATTCTAAAGCGTAACTTTATACTCCAACATTTAATAAAGCACTTGTGAACATTTCTATGTAATTCCTTGGGTTTTCGATAAGTTGATTTATTTTAAAATTCATTAATTTTAATAAATCTATTAATAGTAGTAACGATAATTATTGATCTTTTATTTGCGTCTGTAATATAACAAATTCTATAACCTGCTTTTATAGTTTTGATTACTTAGTTGAGTTACCACCCTAGTACGTGCGTACGTATATACATTATGGTCTTGTAAATACTAGGAAAACGGATCCGTTGGGTTTGCAAACAAATCTAATTATTTGCAAGATAGTAATAAAAAAAATTTTCTATTTATCTTTATACTGTATATGTGTCCAATGAAAGCTAAAGGCCTTTAACTCTGTAAAATAGGTTCTTAGATGCAATTTGACCAATTTAGCACTATGAATTA